CAAAAATAATGTATTGTCTTATGGAACTTGTTATCAAAGAAAAGTTTTCCCTCCATTCAACTTGGAGCTCCTTTTTTTGTTTTGTTGATTTATTTTTCATGTTTGGTCCTTTGGCATTTGGATGATAGTTTCTTCTGTATAAACCTCATCTCTTCAACATGCCTTTGCTTTTTGTGGTGTAGAAGGCAAATCTATTTGGCTGCTATGATGGTTTAAAGTAGTAATTGCTTAGGTTTCCACCCTGGCAACAACTGTATTTGAGTAGAATTCTGAGTGTGAGTCACTGAGTAGAATATGTAATTAACAAGACTAAAGGAAGAGCTCTGATCTTTGAAAATACTGGTCCTCAGTTTATACATCTATAAAATGAAAGAATTGGAAACACATCTCTTAAAGGACCTCCAACTCAGACAGTCTAAGATCCTAAAAATCTCCAACTATTATAAACCTCTTCTTCCACCAAGTTCTTATGAATCTTTATGGAGACTTTCCTCTACTGCTTTATCTTTCTGGGAGGTTTTGAAATTTATCAGAAGCAAAGGGTACATTGACTTTCTTGCTTCTACTACTGTGGGAATGGAAGCCAGATCTAGCTAGTTTCCTTGAGGATAGAAAATAGGAAAAAATAAATTGTAACAGGTGAACTTCTACTTCTATAATGAGATCTGTGGGTTTCTATTTGTACCTGTTTGAGGTATGGGAAAGACATGATAGTAAAACAGGCCCAGAGATCATCAGACCACGGGCTTCTGGAGTTCAGAGACTTAGTCTTATTCATTTCTCTACCTGCAATAATACACTGTACTGTACAGAGAATATGCTAATTAAATTGTGGAATTGAAGATAGACAACTTAGGACTGTTTCAGGGATTCACCTCTGAGGTGATTTAAAAGATTATTTTTAACCTATTAGAAAAGTTTTATAGAACTATACTGACTCAGTCTGAAGAAAAAAGAGCTATAGGGGTGTTTTAAGTTGAATGGAAGTCTCTCTGATGGATTTAAGTTGAAGGAGGAAATCATATGCATCAAAACACTGATAACACAGAAACTAAACAAATAAGTATTCTGAGACTCCGAATGAGGTGGAGGAAGAGGAATCAATAGATGAATAAAAATGTAAAAGATTCCAGAACCTTCTCTGTTCTAGAGATTTGCTTTTCTGGTTTTGTGTATGTAAGGATCATGGAATTTCTCCTTCCCCTTCTTATTCTGTTCCTCTCTTGACTTGCTGATCTGATTAAGCCTGGTCATATTCTTTATCATATTTCCTGTTAACTTCATTTATTTCTACCACAAGAAGTGTAAATGCAGTTAAATAAAATTTAAACAAAAAGTTTTCTAACTTTAAGCATTATAGTGCACACTAGGAACTCAAGATTTGCTAGTTGGGCCTTATAGCATACAAAACACTTTCTTATCCATTATCTTCTTGTTCCTCATGAAGTTGTGGTTACCTAAATATTGGAAAGGTGGTATATAATGCTCAAAGCCAGGGTATATACTCAGAGTATGATTTGGAGGAGAGAGCTAGCAAACCTTTCTTTACTTAATAATTTGGTGTTGGCATTCTTTACCTAGGACTGTACCCCCACTTTGATTAACTTGACCATAGCAGCTCAGTGAGAAAAATCCAGTCTTCTTACCCTGACAAATAACTTTTATTATAATTTCCCTCTTCACTCCCAGGGCTACCTTATTTTCTTGCAATCTCATAATTGATAATATTAAATATATATACAAATCTACAGTTCCTTTTGAGACTGAGATTTCCTTTCTGACCTTTAGCTAGGATCTCTGGGCAGGCTTTTTGCCTATAGATGGTGATGGTCTCCTTAGGGCAAGTCTTTTAATTCTGTGTTGATTGGAAGTAAGCCTGTGTTGTGTAATAGCAGGACCTTAACTTGGAATGTATTTTGTAATGATAGCCCAGAATGGTGAAAAGACCCCTAAATGAAGTCTTGGGAGTCCAGAGCTCCCACCAGCTCAACCCTGTGTGTAATGATGCTTCGGGAAAGCTCTAGTCCTTCTGTATCAGTTTTCTCCTATCCAGAAAGAAGGCACTGGGCTTTACCTTCCAAGAGCCCTTCTATCTCTGACATTCTCTAGTTTATAAACATTAAAAGGCTATTCCATCATATGGTGGCTGATTTGTGCTTTCACATGTTTGTGAAGCATCATGGCAGGTGCTAAAGTTCCCTAGGAGTGATGGGACAATGCTTGGTATAGTCTTTGCAGCAGAGGATGTGTTCAGGGGGCTAATTTGATGCCTCTGAACTGAAGCCACAACCCAGAGGCTTATTTTAGATCTTGTATGTCCTTGACTGGATGAATGATAGTAGAATCATGACCGTAGCCATCTACATCCTTTACATAGTTACCAAGGTCATGAGGTGTCACATGGAAACATGCCAAAGAGCATATGGTAAAACTGAGATTCAGAAAATGAAACTAGCTTATTCATAGTTACACAGCATTAAGTGTCAGAACCAAGACTCTAACACAAGAATACCTGACATCCTGTTCTTTACATTTTTCACTTTACTCTGTTACCTGATATGATATCTTTCATGGTGAGCACAAGTAACTAATAAAGCATTGTTGGTTATAAAGGCATCTATATTCTCCATAATTGTCCTTATGACATTTGACAGAAGATGATAGATTTTCATAGACCTCTGGTACTGAAGTCTTTGCTGAGAAGCACTGCCTTAGTTTTACCTTTGGAGAAACTTCTTAGTTGTAGATTTATCTTCTCAGATATCTCCAGTGGAGCTCAGGAGAGAAGGTTGGCTGAACTTGTATATTTATTTATTTATTTATTTTCCTTTTTTATTTAATTTCAATTAGCCAACATATAGTACATTATTAATTTCAGATGTAGTGTTCAATAATTCATCAGTTTCCTATAACACCCAGTGTTCATCACATCACATGCCCTCCTTAATGCCCATCACATTACCCCACCCTTCACCCACCTCCCCTCCAGCAACCCTCAGTTTGTTTCCTATAGTTAAGTGTCTCATGGTTTTTCTTCCTCTCTGATGATTTTCCAGTTTTCCTTCTCTGCCCCTATGATCCTCTATGCTGTTTATTATATTCCATGTATGAGTGAAACCATATGATAATTGTCTTTCTGTGATTGACTTTGCTCAGCATAATACCCTCCAGTTCCATCCAGGTCGATGTAAATGGTAAGTATTCATCCTTTCTGATGGCTGAGTATGAACTTGTATATTTAGAATTATTCTTCATCTCTGAGAAATGTCATTGCCATGCTCAGATTGATTGGTTATTTAGAAATAGGGTCCCTCTTGAATTTCATGCTTAAACTTCATTTGAGGTTTCCCTAAGGTAAAAGAATATAAAGTGTACTTATTAGAGAAGCTATCTTGGCAGATTTTCATTGCCTTTGTATAAAAGCAAAATTGCACCCAGCACATAAATTGACATATGAAGCAGTAAATAATTCCATTGTGCAAGTTGTTTTAATAGACTAAAGCCAGAATGCTCCATTAACCAGCATGCATACAATATTCACTGAGCTTAGAGTTTATTACCAGGCCAGGAGAAAAAAAAAAAAAAAAGAAAGAGAAGAAACAGAATGAAGGAATGTATGGGGGGTATGATAAATGTCAGCATAGCAGCTGGGAAGGTGAGAGGTTAGAAAGGGAACTTTAGAAGTATGTACAATATGTTTCTTTTCCTCTCTTCTTCTTCTTTTTTTTTCTTTGTGGGTGAAGGATTAAGTAAAAAAAAGGTTCAGTGTCAGTTTTCAAACATAATGATCAAAAATCTGAGAACTGGGCAGTAGAATGTGCCAGGGTCTTTTCTAACTTTAAGAAGAATCTCAGAGATCAGCCAGTGGGGGAGAGGGGTGACATATGCATATGTGTGAGATTATGTTTATACACATCTCTACTTGGACAAACACTCAGAAGCCACAATAGCATTCCCAAAGGAATTCCTCCTTAATACAGGAAGTGACAGCTTTGTGAAGGCACCACAATTAAGCTCTGGGTTTTTGTTCTAGATCCCAGGATTTAATTTCTAGAAGAAATGAGAGCTCTGTGATGTTCCATGGGGATGTTTAGAATTACAGGCAACTTAGTTTTAAAGCTTGTTGAATGCAAAGCACCTGAGCTTGGCTTAACCTCCAGGGATCTCTTTGCATTCAGAGATGTCTAAAGCCACAAACCATAAATTCTGATGGGCACATGTAAAAGAAGAGACCACAGGAATTACAGTTTTGTTATTCAACGTAGCCACACTCTCCTGCCACAACTTCCCTCCCATCACTCCCAAGCTTCCTCTTGTTTTGCACTTGGGTTTACCAGATGGCCAGGCCTGGGCTATTCCAGAGAGTGTTTGAAAAGGCAGGCACAATTCCTTTATGAGTTTTGATATGTTTGTTTCTACAACTTTGCTGGATGGAATGTGTGCAGAGAATAGAGAACCATGAGATATAAAAGCTGAAGTCACACGCATTTTGAATTGGTCATCATCCCTCTTAAGGATCATACATACGCTACTGTTATTGATGTCCCATGTCTCTTCTCAGTCATTTCCTGCTTGTGTTTACTCTTTTGTGGAACCTGGAGCTGCTGTCATTTCCCTCCTCCTTGAAACTACCCACCACCTCAACACTTCCAGTTCCTGTCCCACCACCCTGACTCTTCCTCTCCCTTTTTCTTTTAACCATTACCATTGGAATATTGGCATGAGGTTAATATCCCTATTTCCAGCCCTGGCCTTCTGTCCTCAGCAACAGAGTCACATTTCCAACTAGGCATTTCCAACAACACCCAGAACTCATCATGTTTGGAACCAAATTTATCCTTTTATTCTTACCTCTTAAATTTCTGGAACAATCAGTTAGTAGGCAAGCCACTTAGCATCATTATAAAGGCTAACTGAGACACTGCTTTACTTTCTCATCCTTTTCTTTTTGTTTTAATTGAATGACAATGGCTAATCTAAAGGAAACTCCTTTCTTGTAGGAGACAAGGAGAAGGCCTTAGGATCTACTGGGGGAGTCTGGAAGAGCAGTCCCTCTTTTCCCGCTGGAACCCGTGGTCCACTGAGGTGCCTTATGCGACCTTCACTGAGCATCCCATGAAATACACCAGTGAGAAATTCCTCGAAATTTGTAAGGTAGGCAGTTTGTGCATCACTCTTAGATTACCTTTGACGGTGAAGCTGTGTGCTTCTAAGACATGTACTATTAAAAAAAAAAAGGTAAGATACAACCTGATTTTATACAAACTTTAAAAGGTTTGAACTATTTTTTAGTAAACAGTGGGGCTGTTTTCTTTATTAAAAATATATATAATATTTATATTAACCATATTATGATGTTTCCTCCTTGCTAATTTCTTATAAAAATTATAGTGTAATATTATTTAAAAATTGCAATACTTGTGTCTGTCTGATTGTGTTTATTGCCAAAATGATACATATAATTTTCTGTATGTAATTAAATTCTAATTATTTTATTCAGAGAAGGAGTGTGGGATAGTGTGAAATATAAAGTCAGATATGGCTCTTTGGTCATGTTTGTCACTTTTCTTTCTGGACCTTGGTAGTCTCGTCTCTAAAATGGACATAATGATGATCACTGCCCTTCCTCTTAACTTCATTGGAACACTGTAAGGTTAAATGGGATAATGTGTATATAAATGCTCCATAAATGGTAAAGCAATTAAGAGTATTAAGTAAGAGTATTTTTATGTCTTTCAATCTCATCTCCCCAAATAGATTTTAAGTTTATCAGTGGCAGGGTGAGTCCTTCTACTCTTCTTTCATCCCCTCTAGGGAAATTTAGGCAGTGCTAGCACACTAAGTAGGCAGGAAGTAAAACAGTTGGAGCTGTAAATGCAGAAAAAGATCAAACTTTTATATTTTCAACAAAATCCGTATACGCATAGGAGTGTGCTTATAGGCGTAGAAATTCTTGCCTTCTCTAGCCTTTCTATGTTTACTTTTATATGCTGTCATTCACTCCCAAATATCACAACTCTCTGTTTGCTATAAATTCAAAAGATACATCTAAAGTCTGTCTGTGGATGGATGGCATGCATTGCATTGCCTGCATTGTTTTCAATACACCTATTCATGCAAGTATGTATATGTATAAAAAACATTTTTAGTTGAAAAGTCCCCTATTTTGAAAAGGATTTGGGAGAAACATGTGATTAAAGGATAGACAGAGTCTTCATTCCCCCAAATATATAGGTGGAGTTGGCTTAAATTCCTTCTGCTCTCAGAAAGGTCAATGGTCTTTTCAAGATTTATGCAAACATCCTCAGGGACTTATGGTCTCAAGGTGTACCTCTGGCTTATTGCAGGCACTGAGTTAGTTCATTGTATGCATCTTGTGATAGTCCAATTTCACGATGCTGCAGCCCAAGCTTCAACATCAGCCCCTAGCCTGACTCTACCATTCAAAATCAAGAAAACAACACAAAATGAAAACCAATGAGAACAACAAAAACACTTACACAAAGGCATTGATGTGAGAGTAGTCTTGCTGAGGGTTTCAGGGAAATGGAGTGGGAATTTACATCATAATAATGAGTCCAAACTTCACAGGGAATATCAGCTCTCCCTGTTTTTAAAATCCTTATTAATAGCAATACTCTGATACATTGCTTCATAATCCTCTCTCCTCTCCTCTGGATCCTGTCTTGCTCCTCCCCAAACGCTTGCCCTTCCTCTTCCCCTTCTTCTCCTTCCTCTTCTTTTTTTCCCTTCTTCTTCTCCTCCTTCTTCTTTTCTCTTTATTAACAGTTCAGAGTATTTTATCTGTTTCTTTTTTTTTAAACACCTGCTAATCCAACCCAGAAGCTTAATTATGTATTTTTCCAAAGCCATTTCCCACCTTTAAAGGAAGTCTAGTTCTGGCCATTACAATAATATGTATTTTTGCATTAATAGTCCTTGTATTTTATTGTAAGTTAAAATAAATACCAACTGCCTTGGTTATTACATCCATTACTTCCTGAGCCAAGTCTCTTATTACTCATACCTGACTCCTTGAGTGTCCTTTGCTGGAAGACGTTCAGGGTAAGGGATTAAAGAATAAGTTCTATTCACTGCAGAGAAATGGCACTGCATTACTCTAATTCTTGATGGTACTTTGTTTTATTCTGATACATATAAATACAATCAAATAATTTTAAAAAGAAGATAAGAAATAAAATGTCAAAAGGGGGGTAGGATAATTATTTCCCAAATACCATGAATGTGGTTAGTAGAATGGAGTATTAATTTTACACAAGCCTTCCTATTAGTCAAGGCTAAAAGGAAAACTCAATGTTTATATAGCTCTTGTTGGATGGGAGTAAGAATAGCAGGTGTGTGTGTGTGCACTCGAGCACACATGTGTGGACATGAGTATAATGAATGGTTGTTCAATTGGTTGGTTTTCAGTCAATCAAACTATTTTGTGGATCTGTCAAGTGTATTTACTTTATGGTTTTTCTCCTTAAACTACTCTTCCAAAGATTTTTTTTTTTTTTAATTTCCTGGCAACAGTCTGGTGTTTTTCTTTTGCCAAACTATTTCTTATTCAAAGGCCACCCCAAGTCCTGATTCTCTATGAAGACAAGTGATCTCCATCTGTGATGTCAGATGATGAGTACTCTGATCCAGTTCTTTGAGTCTTAATTTCTCTTTTGTTGTTGTTTTTTATGTCACAATATTATTTGTGTTTAGGATATTTTCCAAGATTGGCTTTGATTAATACTCAGTTATATTAATATAAATGAGTAAATAAGGAGAAAGATAATTCTGTGGACCTATAATTCCTTTTATGTGAGTATTTTGGCATAACATAAGATTTTAAAAGGATGATATAAACTAGTTTTTCCATCCCCCTTATAAATGAAATGGGAAAAAAGTAGAAAAATATGGGGAAAATGCATAACTAAACTAAATACCTGAAGCAATTTAATTCAGTTTAGCAAATCTATTATGGCAGAGGAAAAAGAATCCTGTAGAGCTGGGTTACACATAGTAAAAATTTTCAAATTATGTACAATCTAATAGAAAAACTTATTTAAAAAAATGCATTAGAAAATCCAAATTTATTCTTACGCAGAGTCTTTTCTTGTATGGCACCTGGGATCTCTTTATTCAACAAATATTTTCTGATACCTACAAAGTACAGGTATTATTGTTCAGGATACAAACATAAATGAGACAAGATTCATGTCCTTGTGGAAGGCATTGCTTAACAGAGGAGGTAGATAAAAATGCAAAGATTTTTAAATGAGTACTAAATTGATTAAAACAGAAGTTTAGATCAAATGAAGAGGAGTGGAAGCACATGAAGGTACAAGGAATGTTCTTAGACATGGGGTAATTTATTTTAGCTGGAGTTTATTGAGTTTAATCTTATATATTCCCATCATGATTATAATGGTTCAAATGATAGGTATAAGGGCTTAGGTTAAGGGCAGTAGGAATGGAGAGAAAATAAAGAAATTTTGAGATATTCAAGACACAGAATTAATGGAAGTACGTAACTTACAGGATATAGTAGTAGGTGGAGGAGAGAAAGGGGTTGAAGATGTGGTTTCTGGATTGGGTAGATGGTGATTCCATTAATTTCAGTGGGGAAAACTGAAAGGAGAGTAGGTTTGGAGGTTCAGTGTAGGACATGTTGAGTTTGACACCTCCATGGAACATGTGGATCAGTTAGTGGTCAGGCAGTTAGAAATTTAGGTCTGAAGCTCAAGAGAGAAAGCTGAACTGGTGATAAAGGTTTCAGATCATACAACTTTGGGTCAAAGCTGAGTCTTGGGCTTGGTTGGTCAGGCAAGAACCATAGGAAAGAGCATTAATGGAAACATTAATTGCATTTAAATACAAATTCATATTATTTCTAAGTCTCTTAACACTGATCTAAAAAAAACTTACTGTTGGGGTGCCTGGGTGCCTCAGTCATTAAGCGTCTGCCTTCGGCTCAGGTCATGATCCCGGGGTCCTGGGATTGAGCCCCACATCGGGCTCCCTGCTCGGCGGGAAGCCTGCTTCTCGCTCTCCCACTCCCCCTGCTTGTGTTCCCTCTCTCGCTGTGTCTCTCTCTGTCAAATAAATAAATAAAATCTTTTAAAATAAATAAATAAAAATAAAAACATTACTCTAACATTTATATAACACAGCATCAAAATACATCATGTTTTCTTGTATTCATCTTACTAACTCTATGGCATTCTACATCTGGCAAATATGATGGTCAAATGGCCTCTTTCCAGACATGCTTGCTTATCTCTGAGCCTCACCAACCTGTTCCAATCTGTGTATGCATATACTTTGCATTACTCATATAAAACAGTTGTGAAAATAGGAAATAATCATTTTTTGGCATTGACTTTCTTGTTACAAGACATAAAAATAATCTCATGTTATATTATGTAATCGGACTATATTTATTGATTATAGTTTGTATGTTTTCATGTAATTCAACTAACAAAAACCCTGTGAGGTCAAGATAGCTATCTCTTTTTTAAAATGAAGATACTTAGAGTGATTAAGTGAATTGACTAAGATATTACAATAAAATGCTCTATTTCCACACCTAAACAATTTGCTAATAAGCAGGGAAATGGGTATAAACCTGAGCAAACTCTGTGCGTGCATGTGTGTGCGTGTGTGTGTGTGATGTGATGGAATGTGATATATTATACTTATGACATGATTCAATTATCCTCGATTGTTTCATCCACTTTATATTTGTAATTTGTAGTCTCATTTCCCCTGTTTTAACTGTTGCCTTGCTGGGTTCTTAGGATGTGTGGACAGTCTTGCTAGAAGGAACTAATGACCCAGCCCAGAGCTGGTGAATAATAGTGAATGGGTCATGAATGCTCTATAACCAAATCGAAGAGATCCTTTTTATTCTTTTCTGGCATATTTACCCTTCTTTTCAAGGGAATTATGAAAGTGAACCAATGTTTTAGCAATCAAATGTAACTTTACATCCTTAGCTCCTTAGTTTCCCTTCACATATTTGACAAATACCCATTGAATACCTACCTGACATTGAATACTACATACTGAGCAGTGTGCTAGTAAGCTGGGATACCAAGAAGAATAAAACAGATTTTACCCTCCAGATACGTAGAGAGTAGAGGGAGAAAGCAAAAAAA